CATTTAGATTCCAGAACATGTGGTTGGCTCATTCTGGTTTTATGGACTTCATATCCAACATGTGGCCATCTTATAATTCTGGTGGGGGTATGAGAGGCATGGTTTATAAACTTCAGTGTCTAAAGAAAGATCTGAAACTCTGGAATAACGAAATATTTGGTGACATATTTGAGGATGTTAAATATTGTGAAAATGAAGTCCTATTGGCAGAAAAGGCTTATGAGGAGGACCCTAGGGATTCTACTAGGGAAGCCTGGGCCCATAAAAGAAGTTTGCTTATCCAGAAATATAAATTGGAAAGGAAATTCTGGAAACAAAAAGCACATACAAGGTGGATCAAAGATGGGGACTCTAATACTAAATTTTTTCATTCATATGTGAAAATAAGGAATAGAGTTCAAACTATTACCTCAATCAAAGACAGTCAGGGGAATAATCTGACCAATATTCAGGCCATTGGTGATGCAGCTGTCCTTCACTTCTCTGAGTTGTTTTCATCTGATAATGAGGGAGACTCTGGAGACATCCTACAAAACATTCCCCAGTTAATTACTGAGGAAGATAATACAAATCTTGTCAAATTACCTACACTTGAGGAAACTAAGGAAGCTGTTTGGGAGCTTAATCAGAATAGTGCAGCAGGTCCTGATGGTTACAATGGGAAGTTCTTCAGAAAATGTTGGCATATAGTTGGGGAGGATGTTTGGAGGGCTACTCAGGAGTTCTTTATGGGTATGCCTATCCCTAAAGGTATGTCCAGTGCTTTAATTGTGTTGATTCCCAAAACTGACAGGCCCAATTTTTTTGCTGAATTCAGACCTATTTGCTTGTCTAATTTTCTTAGCAAAGTATGCACTAAGATTATTACTATCAGACTCAGTGCCATCTTACATAAGATTATATCCAGAGAACAAGCAGGGTTTATGCAAAATAGAGACATCTCAAATCAGATCCTGATTGCCCAGGAAATGGTGCATTGTATTGATAAAAAAGTAAGGGGCTCTAACATGATTATCAAATTGGATATGGCAAAAGCATTTGACAGAGTCTCTTGGGCTTTTCTAGCTGGAATTATGGCAAGGTTTGGCTTTAATAATCATTTCATCAAGCTGATTGTTAGAAACTTGGAAGCCACCTATATGTCTATTCTGATTAATGGAACTCCACATGGTTATTTCAAGCCTCAGAGAGGGGTCAAACAGGGAGACCCTCTTTCCCCTTTTCTTTTTATAATTGCATCAGAAGCATTTTCTAGAGGACTCAACAACCTTATGGTGAATGGCAGGATTAAACCCTACTATATGGGTGTTAATGGTTTTCCAGTCTCCCATTTAGGATTTGCGGATGACTTGCTAATTTTCATAAATGGGGACTCTAGATCCTTATTGGCTTTCAAGAAATTTCTGGACAATTATCAATCTGCATCTGGTCAGTTGATTAATTTCAATAAAAGTTCCTTTGTGTGTGGAAAAACTTCACCTGGCCGACTTAGTAGCATCAAAGAACTTCTGGAGATGAATCTGGCCTCTCTTCCTATCAAATATCTGGGGGTAAACCTGCATAAAGGGATAAATAGGTTTCAGTTTTGTGGATCTTTGATCAAGCAATTTGAAAATAAACTATCCCCTTGGAAGCAAAAGAATCTCTCTCAAGGAGGGAGACTGATCCTCATTAAACATGTTCTTAATACAATGCCCCTCCATACTCTTGCAGTGGACACTCTACCTAAGAAGGTGATTAAGGTTTTAAACAACAAGATGGCTTCTTTTTTCTGGGGATCTTCTAATGGCAAAAAGAAACACCACTGGTCAAAATGGGAGAATATTTGCTATCCTTTTGAAGAAGGAGGATTGGGGATTAGGGCCTTTAATGATATTGAAAAAGCCTTTTCTATTAAAATGTGGTGGAAATGGAAAACAGGAAATACATTGTGGACTGATTTTATTAAGGGCAGATATAATAGAGGTAATATCATGTTACCTAGAGTGACAGATTCTACCATTTGGAGGAGGATATGCTCTATACATGAGATTGCCAGTGAGATGTGCACAATTGAAAATACTAGAGATTTAACCTGGAATGAGGAAGTAAGTGGTCAATTCTCTTTCAAATCTGCATACAATGACATTAGGCCTCAACTACATCCTACTCTAACTTTCAAGCATATTTGGCACCCCCAACAAGAGCTTAAAGTTAAACTGTTACAATGGAAGATTGTTAAAGGCTTTCTACCTATCACCGATAAGCTCAACCGATTCAACATGGTTCTCCAACCATCTATTTGTGTATTATGCAGAAAACATTCAGATAGCCTTGAACATTTATTCTTTCATTGCAATATAGTCAAACCTATTTGGCGATATTTCATGGGGATATGTGGTATACCATTCTCAACAACTGATTCTATCTTACAAGTTTTCAGGAAATGGTGGTTTCAGTCAGGTGAAAAAGGAATTATGGATATTTTCAAACACAATCTGTCAGGTATCATTTGTTGGTTTATTTGAAAAAATTATACTAAATTGATATGGGGTGATGGGGTCTCTCCTCCTACTTCGGACAGTATAATTTTCCAAATTAAATTATATACTCAAAATTGGTCCTTAAGCTTCCCTCCTGTGAAGAATCGAACAGATTTCAAGATTTTGAGAGATGAACTATTGATACAGCCTTATTCGAATCTGAGATTTAGCTCGTTTCAAATTGTTAAATGGCGGAAACATCTAAGCAAGAACAAATTGAATACAGATGCGAGTTACTTAGCTCAAGGTGCGACAGGTGGAGCGATTATCAGAAACTATAGAGGTGAGATGATCTGTGCGACGAGCTTCTCAGTCACTGCGTCTTCTCCGGTTGAAGCAGAACTTAAAGCGCTGATGTATGCTATTAAATGGGCGGATAACGAAGGATTTGTTAACCTTCAGGTGGAATCTGATTCGAGCGAAGCTTTAGAACTGATGAGGAATAAGGATGTTCGACGATGGCATGATCTCCTTCAGGAAAGTCGGCTGATTACAGATAGGAAGAAGATGGTTTTCGGACACTGTCTGCGTGAAAGCAATTGGGTAGCCCACTATCTTGCTTCAACTCATATGGGCCACCTTCCAAAAATTTTCATTGGGCCGCGTTCTCTTCCTACTCAAGCCCAACAAGCTTACTTTATGGATCTGTTTGGAATTCCTTCGATAAGATTTTAATTTTCAGCATTTATCTTTTTTCTGAGAGGTCTTGGCCTAGTCCCCCTCTCCTTTTAATTCTCTTATTTTAATAAAATCTGGCATCTGACCCCCGGCATTTGCCCCACTGATTTTGGTGGTTTGCCTTCCGGGGTAAAAAAAAAAGGGTGGCTGAGAGAGAGAGAGAGAGACGAAACTGGTTTGCGATGATGCCTGGGAAGGAGAGGAGGCTCGGGAGATGGTTGGAGCTCTGATTACGAACCGGAAAATCAACTTTGCAGGCTTCAAGGAAGCGATGGCGTCGGTGTGGAGGCCGGGCAGAGGGGTGGAAATCAAGGAAATCGAGGAAAAAAGGTATATTTTTAACTTTGATCACCCCGTTGATATGAAACGTGTGATTGATGGAGGCCCTTGGCAGTTTGATTAATTGTGAAGGAAATCAAACCAACGGATATTCCTCATAAAATTACCCTGAATGAAGCAGAATTTTGGGTTAGGGTTCATAATGTTCCCTATGGTTTGTTGAATTTAGGTACTGCTAGGAAAGTGGGTAATTTTCTGGGTAGATTCGTTGATTATGATAAAAATAATTATGGGGAACAATGGAGGCCGTATATGCGGGTTAGAGCTTGTATTAATGTGGAGTTTCCCCTGAAGAAGGGTACAACACTGAAAAAAGAGGGAGTTGGCTAGTGGGTGGATTTTCAATATGACAAACTACCTAACTTTTGCTTTATTTGCGGGGTTATGGGGCATTCTGAAAATTTTGCCCGCTTATGTATGAAGAGGGTCTTGTGCTGGAAAAAAACTTTGATGCGTCTCTTAGGGTAGGAGGTGGGGTGAAGACCAGCCCTACAGGAAAAAATAAATGGTTGATTGGGGAAGACTCTAATTCGGGAAGGGATCGGCAGGGATGGAAAGAGTAGGGGATGGGAGGAAGTACATTAGGGGATAATGAAGATTCAGTTGGCTCGGGTAGTGCTTCCAATAAGGAAGTGGTTCCGAAACAGAATGAAGAATCTTCGGGAGAGAAACGCAGACACACTTGGGAAAAGAGACAACTCAAAACCAGAATGCAGATGAGAAGGCTCTGGATGGTGCAAAAAATGGGGAGGCGACGGGCTTAGAGGGATAAGCTCGTCATGGGAAGTTTTGAGTCAGGAAGGGATTCGATGGTGCTGTGGTGTGCTGGTTCAAGTTTACGACAATTGTTTCTTTTTTTGTTGCTTGCTTTCTGTTTCTGACAGGTTTTGTGTTTCCTTTTGGTGTTTTTACTGTTTTTCTAATTGTAAAACGATTCGTTTGGATTTGGATGTGGGGATGATGCAGGGCCGTCTAATGAATTCGGAGGCCCCGGTTCCAATTGACAAATTGAGGCCCCTATGACAAGAAAAAATACAAATTTTAACAATGAAATACAAATAGTTTAGACAATTCAATGAAATATAAGTTTTATGATGTTTAAAATCCATAAATTAGAGAATTTAAAGGTTATATGCCTTTTGGAGTCTTCAATAATACTCCGTACATGACATTTAGAAAAAACAACTTATAACTAATACTACTCTCTAAATTATTGGAGGCCTTCTACTAGAGTAGGCCCCGATGCCAAGCACCTATTGAACCTCCTAAAAGACGACCTTGGGATGATGTAACTATGATTACCGTCACTGGCTCAGTTGTGCCCAATTTTGGATCAGCATGTTATATTACTGAGGTAATTGACTCTGACTCTGACTCTGTTATTTTCTTAAGTTATTTTGTGTGATTTCCTACTCTCCGAATGGTTTAGTTATATGTAAGCAGCTTTCATTAAAAAAAAAAGATTATTATTAGGATCGGAATTCGTCCTTCAGGCCGCAGCGATCATTCTCTTCCCATTCTGCGCTCCGTGATTCTAATTCTCCTTTTTCTTTTCTCCCCCGCCAAATTCTTGTCTTAATCGAAGAGAATTGAGGGTCCACGTAGAATCGAAAAGGCATCCTAGTCAGGTGAGTTCAGAACTCCTCTTCCTTCATGGTTCACGATTTTTGTTTTATCTGGTCTGTTTTTTCCAAGCCGTGAATGTTGGGCCAGTTCTGATTGTTGATTCACAGAATCACAGAGGTGTCTTGAGAAAGCGTGATCACAATTAATGATTCAAACCTGTTGCTGGGGCTGTTTTGGTTCCGCGTATGGGACTAATAGTTAGTTTCAAGGCTTAATTTTTTAATTGGTCTTAAGTGTTTATTGTTCTGCAAAGGAGTTTAGCTTTGATACAGTGGTAACATAGAAGTAGCATATTGGATTCTTTTGCTTGTAAATTATTGATCATTCATTAATCATTATTGATGTCAGCCGTGTGCTTTCTTAGGCAATTTCACTGGGATGGGTTTTGTCATTTGTTTTAGATTGATGTTGTAAACTGTTTCTTAGTTGCCCAATAACATTAGAATGGCCGTAGCTGAAGTTTAGACAGCAACATTTAGGGTTATTTGAGCCTCTTATTAATTCCTAATTTCCATATCACATATAAACATCTAATCAGTGTTTTAAATTGAGGTTGCGGCTATTGGGCCGCTGTGCTGCGTATTGCGGCCGATGCGGTGTGAATTAATTTTTCGTTCGAAAGAAATAATAAAAAGACTAAATTAGCGTTGCAGTCCCGATGTGGCCCCATTGTGGTATGCGTTGAGGTTACGTTGCGGATTTATCCCGTGAATCGGGATCTCTCCGCCATTGTGGCCCGATGCGGTTTTGGTGCCGCCGACAACCGCAATATTGTGGTTGCATTGGGCGTTGCGGTGCGCAATTTAAAACCCTCATGTACCTAATGACAAGGAGATTTGCTGATTTAGTGTCATGACTTTTGTGTGTGTCCATTATTTAGTGATTTTAGTCCTGGAACATTAATTATTTGCAGTAAATATCATATATGATATAACTATTAAGTGATTAATGTGATGTGACTAAAAATGAGCATATGTATAAGTTATGGGACCAACTATACAATTTTTCCCTTTTCCCTTAAAGATATGAAAGAAGGCTTAACAGAACTATGCTATTACTTTAGACTTAAGACTCCGATTTGTTCAGTGGATCATTCCCTCCTGTAAGAAATAGATGATGGTGCCTTTGGCATTTGTCACGGGCCCTAAGTTGAAAGGTACCAACATAGTTGTTTCAGTACTTTGTTTCAAAGTTATTTCAATACTTGTTCCAGAGGTTATGTGAGCATGTCTTTGAGATTTGCTTGAAAAGTTATTTGAGATTCATTGAGAAGTTATTTTTGTTTGATACTTAATTCATTATTTACTCTCTGCATTCTCAAAGAACTGTTCATCACTAAAGGCATTTTATTCCCAAATAATTATCCATTAGGTGCCATTTCCCAATAACTGTCATTTTAGCAAACCAATAAAGTAAGACAGTACAATGATTTAGTTGTGTTCTCACATTTAGTCAATCCCTTGTTATTTTAAATAGTAGTACATTACTACATAGAAATCAATAAGGGATTTGGGATTAAGGCTTGGATGTCATTGTTGTTGTAGAAATCAATAGGGGGTATGTTAGTTAATTTTTGTCAAAATTAATGATTACCTTGAGAAGTGAGAACCACAAAATTTCCTCAGTGGACAGATGTTTCAGAATGGATGGGGTTGAGAATTTAATTCAGAACTACTTTTGAGAATTTGGTGTGAACAAGCCTGAGAATTAATTTGTGAACATGTCTAAGAACTAAACCATGAACCAGTATGTAACCACTAATTTGTAGATCAATCCTTGAAGTAAGATCTAGGTCATAACCCAAGTATATCTATTAATAATTGATGTAGACTTCTCAAATGTGTTCGTGAGTTACTAGTAACTTACTAAGTGTACTGCTTATTAGTTTTCCTCACATGTACATATATTAGGGGTTATATCAAGCTGTAGGAGGAGTGGAGGAGACATGGTGAAGTAATGGTGTTGTAATATGGGTTCATGGGAATGACATAATGAGCCTCAGATTTAATATAAGAGACTTCTATGAATTTTACTTTGGTTTTATTTGATACTCCGTATTTTGTTTTTGAATTTTTCCGTAGTTTCATTCTCTTTGGTCACCATTTATTATCTTTTGTTGGTTAAATCTTAGTGTAGCGTTTTTTCTTTACTTGGAGAGTAGCATAGTGTTACACACATGTATGGATGACTAGAATATGAAGCCATTGCATTATTTATGCTTCAATCATCATGCTTGTGGCCTTGTGAGAATGAATGGATTTAAGGGGTTAAGTGAAGGTAAATTGACCGATTGCATCCCGGAACAAAAGGAAGAGGAATTTTTATGGAGTCATACTCCTTCTTTACGGACCTCACATTTCTTAATGGATTATTCTATATATTTGTTGTTCTAATGAAAACTCCTTCATAACCAGAATTATAACCTTCCTCTAGATGCTCGAAAATTGTAAAGGAAGAATCACAGTATATACTACTCTAACGAATAGAAGGGGTATCAATTTCAAGTAAATTCAGTGAGCCAAATTTTGAGCTTCTCTAATTAGGATTTGTTATTCCCTTTGTTGGTTTAGGATTCCTGTACTGGTTGGGTATGGGATCTGTGGATGGCATTGTGAGTAGTGAACATGGGAAGCACCACCCCCTTCTTTCATTCGGAGTTATATCAGATGTGCAGTACGCTGATATTCCCGATGGCCGTTCCTTCCTCGGTGTTCCAAGGTATTATCGACATAGCTTTATTGTGCTGCAGAGGGCGGTTCACAAGTGGAACCAGCAAAAGCACAACTTTGTGCTGAATTTCGGTGACATTGTTGATGGGTTTTGCCCAAAAGACCAGTCTTTTGCTGCTGTTAAGAAACTGGTTGATGAATTTGATAGGTTCAATGGCCCAGTGTACCACATGATTGGGAATCATTGCCTTTACAACCTTCCTCGAGACAAATTGCTTCCCCTTCTAAGGATTCCTGGTTATGGTGGCCGTGCCTATTATGAATTTTCTCCGGTTCCGGAATTTAGATTTGTTATTCTTGATTGTTATGATATAAGCGCCATTGGTTGGCCTGAGGATCATCCAAACACATTGAATGCCTTGAAATTACTCGGGGAGAAAAATCCAAACTCTGATAAGAATAGTCCAGATGGGCTTGTGGGATTGGAGAGAAGGTTTCTAAAGTTCAATGGGGGTGTTGGGAACGAACAACTGGGATGGCTTGATCATGTCCTTCAGGAGGCCAATGAGTCCAACCAGAAGGTAATAATTTGCTCTCACCTACCACTAGATCCCCATGCCTCGTCGAATGAAGCATTGTTGTGGAATTACAATGAAGTCCTTGACGTGATATACAAATATAATTGTGTCAAGGTCTGTCTAGCTGGACATGATCACAAAGGTGGTCAATCAATTGACTCCCATGGTATTCACCATCGGGTCCTCGAAGCAGCTCTTGAGTCCCCTCCTGGGACAAATTCTTTTGGGTATATTGATGCCTTTGATGATAGGATCTCACTTTTCGGAACTGATAGAATGAAGAGCTCCGATATGCTCTTCAGTTGCTGAGTTTATACTCTTCTGGAATTTCTTGTATATTGTTTTTGTTTTTCATTTTAGTTCCCCCCTGTTAGTTTTCATCTGGATTCCATATGGGGTCAGTACTTTTTCGTGGGTATTAATGATCAACTGTTGTATAAATCTGAATGAGTATACTTCTTATGCAAAATCTTTTGGGATTAAGGCTTGGATGTTGTTGTAGTTGTGCCGTTGTGGTATACTTCTTATGCAGCATATAATATACGAAATAACTTGTTTTGTCACATTTGGGATTTGCTGTCAATGTTGTGATTGGAATTAATCCCGGTTGGGATTAATTATAAAGTTAGTTGGGCTCCTAACAGGGTGAAGTACAAATTACAAAGTACCAACTGCTGGGTATACTACTTTTTATGGGTATTTATTAATGGAGTTTTTTTTCTTTATTAATTATTTGAGTATTGTATTTTTCACACTTTAATTTTGCAATTTAGGTGCTCTTTTGCGCGACTTATTGCGTTCTTCTTATTTTTATACGGAGTACATATTTATATATTGCTAGACCACATCTGGGACTCTGGAAGTTTCTTCAATGATCAAATGTTGTATTAACAATGAGAAAATTAGGCAAGATTAGAAACATTTTAACCATACTAGAATGACTCGTGCAGTCGTACTGGATAAGAAGCATTGCTGCATTGATACTACTTGATCGACGTAACCAGGAAAATTTTGATACGGCTTGTTAGTTCTTAAAAGATGATCAAATCCTAATTACTTTAGCAGAAGAGAAAATGGGATGTTTGGTTACTGGCTGATCAGCCAATTTTTGTCTGTTTTGATCATGGTTTGGCATTTTGACTAGATTCATCGGCTAATAGTGTGTTTGATTAAATGACTTTTTCTTTTTATTAGGGTCTATTTACTAATAGAAAAATTTTCCATTTTTTCAAAACTTTGGAAAACTGGAGATAGAAAAGTCAGAAAACATGTTTACCAAACTATTTTCCAAAATGAAAAAATCAAAACGAGTCTCACTTTTTCGTTGTGAAATGGAAAACAGCCTTTTATGCGTTTTCTCGTTTTAGAAAACTTGGTGCTACGGTAATGTTCATTTACTCGCTCGCCTTAATCCTCCTACCACCTTTACCGGCTTTCATTTCACCCTTACCTTCCTTCGCCTAACTTCATTACTAATCTCACCTTCCTCCGCTCCAGCTTAAAAGTCGGACGTGAGCTTCGCCAAACACTGCACCTCTTCTCCAACACGCCACAACTTCAGATTCGTCCGAGCAGAGCTTCCCTGCCTCTTCCTCACATGGCTACCACGCTCCAGGTTCACAAATCAGGCCATCGCTGCTAGGAGCCGAGCCCTGACATCACGGCATCTCCGTGTTCTTCCGCCAGCTCCTGTTCTGCCAACGATTTGAAGGTAAGCTCTGAAACTCAATATTTTTTTCACCTTTTCTTTTTCAAAATTGAAATCCGATTGGAATGTGAAAACCAATTCAGCTTCTTAAGCCTGAAATTCATGATTAGGGCTTGTTTTTCTTAATTTTACTTTTAGCTTCGTAGCTTTGTTTGGAATCCTTAAAACCAATTCACTATTAGCTTCAGTTTTTCTAATTTTTGGTAATTGTTGCGGTACTAGTCTATGATTAAGGCTTATTTGAGTTTGTAAAATATATAGATATTTTTGTATTCTTGTTTTGTGCTTTGAGATGTGGAGCAAATGGTCTAATTGATTTTTAATGCTTTATTTCTACTTTTGGTGTATTATAGTAGCCCATAGTTGCTACTTTTGACCTGAATTAGACTATCATATACTCCGTATAAAATTGCTCACATGGCTGCAGGGCTTACATGTATACACCCCATATGATTCATGGGTGCAGGGCTGCAATGTATGGATGAAGGCAGATTTTTTATTTTTGGTTTTTGTTTTTATTTTGAACTCTATAAAGGAGTAAAGAACATAATTTTGTACCTCATGAGTTGTTGATTCCATGAACATATTACTACCTTTTTTACATCATATATATATGTTTCAGTCCCTTTACATACAATTTATGGCATAGTATTTAGTAGTTTTTTTAATTCCTGGCATTTATGTACTTTATTTATGTGGTTTTAGATAGTTTTAATAAGTTTGTAGATACTCCATATATATTTGGAAGGAACATGTATCGGAGTATAACTTAATTATTAAATTTTTATCTTCACACAAAAATAACTTCAATGATTCACACTAAAGTGTAACTGCTATCATATACTACCTCCGTCCCGGTAGACTTTGTCAAGTGCAAAGTAGGTGAGAAATAAGAATAGTAAAAACTGTGTGGTTGATATTTGTGCAGAGGAGAGAGAAATGTGCAGAACCACAAATTAATTGCTTTAATAGGTAAGTGGCAAAGTTTTTTGGGACAACCAAAAAGGGAAAGTTGGCAAAGTCCAATGGGATGGAGGGAGTATAAAATGAGTGAAGGATCAGATTGGTACTCGAAATTGCATAAAATGGGTCAAATAAATACTTATTGTCCGGCTGTCGCCATTTGGGATGGTTCCCGGTGGAATTTTTTGATGAAATTTTTGAGCATCTTATTCATTAAGTCTAGTTTACTCATACCAAATTTCAGCTAAAACTTTAATCGGGAAAGCCTTTAAATGAATTCTTGAAGACAACTGCGTTTTTAACTGCGCAGTTATCTTCACGAATTCATTTAAATGCTTTCCCGATTAAATTTTTAGCTGAAATTTGGTATGAGTAAACTAGACTTAATGAATAAGATGCTCAAAAAAATTTGTCAAAAATCCCACAGGGAACCGCCCCAAATGGCGACGGCCGGACGGAGCCTCCTATATAAGGACTTATTTGACTCTTTTTATGCAATTTCGAGTACCAATCTCACTCTTTACTCTATATAAAATGTATCTTCTGGCCTGAACTAGACTATCATATGTAGGTTGAGAATGTATCTTCTGACCTGAACTATCACGTATGTGTGGTTTAGTTAATTTTATTAAGTTTGTAGTTAATGGGGATTGGGGAAAAATATGTCCTTGTTTTTGGGATAGGAACGGAGGTAACCACCCCCTAGTGTTATTGGTTTCTTTTTCAACTATTCAATTATTTTTTGTACCGAGTATAATACTGTAGTTTACAAATCTCAATATCTAATGGAATCCATACAAACTTTGCCTTCGAATGCTTCATTCTCAAGGTTAATAATCTGAAATTTTAGGACTAGACCCTTTTCAACTGTAGCCCTAACATTGGCAAACTTAGTGAAATGCTTAAGAAAGAATCTTTATAGTTTAAAAAAAGCCATTCTTGATACTTACTGGCCATTATTAATAGTATTATTGTTTACGTATGTATACGCGGGTTGGGAGGGAACGTGCAATGACTCTCGAGTATTTTTAGATGCAATTACAAGAAGCGAAAATGGGTTGCCCATGCCTCCTATCGGTAATACAATAATTATGCAATTTGTGTTAATAAAGTCACTATTTAACAAAATTTGGTTCCCATTGTAGTTGTTATTGACTTCATTATAGGTTATTACTATTTGGTTGATGTTGGCTATCCAAATGTTCCGGGTTTTTTAGCCTCATACCGTGGAGAGAGTTATCACTTAAATGATTTTCGAGGCCGAGGACGACTATGCAATAAGCAAGCTTTATTTAACTACTGACACTCATTCGTGCGTAATGTGATCGAGAGGTGTTTCGGAGTACCAAAGGAAAGATTTCTCATTCTAGACATATCATGTGGTTACCCATTGAGAAGACAAGTTCAAATTCCCATAGCTTGTTGTGCATTGCATATCTTCATTCACATGCAAGATAGGAATGATGATTTGTTCTTGGAGTACGAGGAAGATGATATGATATTTAACACGGAGGCAAGTACAAGTGAAAATGGATCACTTGAATTTGATATGTCTCAACAACAACAAATGCACGAAATTCGAGAAAGTATTGCAAATGCAATATGGGATAATTATAATGTTTGAGATGTTGAAGTACAACTGTTGTTCTTATTACATGTCACTAATTGAACTTTCAGTTTTGGGGAACATTTATGTTATTTTTTTTGTTATTTCAAATGTTTGTAAATGTGCTTTACTTTTTCTAAATATTAAGTCAACGTTGTCTGATAAAAATGAAATGAAAAATTGAAAAACATTTGGTAAACATGTTTTCTGATTTGGAAAACAAAAAACTGGAAAATGAAAACAGAAAACTGCATGAAGGCTTGAAAACAGAAAATGAAAACATAAAAATATTACTGTTAGTAAACAAGTTCTTAGCTTTTTTGTTTGGCCTTTCCCAAATATTCCGAATCTGCCGATTTATATATGAGAATTTACCCAAAATAGGACTAAAAAGGTTTGGAAATTCCAAAATAGGACTGACATGTTTTTATTTTCAAAATAGGACTAATTACTGCCATGTTTTGGCAGTACCAGACTTCAAACATGGCAGTATTTTCCAAACATGACAGTAATTACTTCTATTTTGGGAATAAAAAACATGGCAGTCCTATTTTGGAATTTTCAAACTGTTTTAGTCCTATTTCGGGAACTTTCCCTTTATATATTTCAAATCCACCTTTGCCTTAAACGTGAAGATGATCTCAACAAACTACAAAATATAGAGTAATAAAAAGAACAACTTTTCTATTATAAATAGTAATCCGTAATTCATACGGAGTATAAAAGTTTTTTAGTAATAAAATATAAATAGCAGCTTATTCCAAAAAAAAATTATAAATAGCAGCTCTATTTTTTGTTTCCTCCATTTAGCGTTGTTGCCTCTGTTATCTTCTTCATACGTACTAGGTTACTAGCAGAGGTTAAACATGTGTCGTTTTTTGTTAGACAACTATTCTTACCATTGTTTAAGTTATAACTATTTATTAATAAATTTAGAAACACATGCAAAACTAAAAAAATGTTATTTGCAATTTTCATTTTGATTTTTTTAAATAAAGAATAATGGTCTAAGTAGCAGTACATAATAGTAAAATTTATGTTATAAATATAATATAAAATTTAGGGTAGTTATAATTTTGTTATATGTAAATTGTACAACCACTACAAAAAAACTTCGATTTAGGCTAGGTTTTTGGCTGAGAAATATTCCCAACCACTAGGCAATCAATAAAAAATTATGTCCATAAAAGTCATTCCATAAATTATCAGTTATCTTTAAACAACTATTTCACAAAATACTACGAAGTATATTACAAACCGCTAATACTACAGCCGATCAGAACATG